AGAACCAGGAGTTATGGTTCCATTCCCGATCAGAGCACATGCCTGAGTTGTGGGCTTGATCCCCAGTGGGGGGCAAGCAGGAGGCAGCCAATCAATGATTCTCTCTTATCAATGATGTTTCTATCTCTCCCTGTCCTTCCTCTCTGAAACCAATAAAAATATATTTTAAAAAATAGCTCCAGTTCCCATCCTTATACAGTATATAGTTGAGTTGGGGGATGGACATAGATAAAATAACCATAGAAATAAATCTATACTGACAAAATGGTATGTCTCCCTTGAAAGAAAATGAGAGCATATACTATGGTATCTAACTACTGATCCTTTATTATTGAAAGTCATAAGGAAGCAGCATTCATTTCTTAAATTGTCACTTTAACTGGCTTCTGCTAAAGACTGAGTGGTTGTGGAGAAAGTGGGCAGCAAGGTGACACAGAGGCAAATGGCGGCTGGCAATGAAGTGAATGAAATGAGATGGATGCTTTGAATTATACTTTTAATTAACAGGAGTTGGTAATGGATTGACTTGGTTGGGAGTAAGGGGGCTACAGAGGACATGGACTATTACTGCTCTTTCTTGGCATAAGCCGCTGGGTGGCTAGAGGTGTGATTTACTGAAATGGGGAGACTAGAGGAGGATCCAGCAAGGGAGAGGAAAAAGTAAAGTATCAATTTGAGACATGTTGAGTCAGAAATTCCTGTGAAATAAGTAAAAATGTCAAGTAGCATTTGGAGTTTTTAGGCTGTTGCACAAAAGAGGGGGCAGAATTGGATATGCAAATTAGGCAGTCAACACCATAAATATGTGTACAGAGATAGGAAATAGATTAAAAAATGCCTAATGTAAGCAGAAATAAAGGGTTCAGGTTTAGAGTTTGAACAACTTCAACATTTAGGTGTCAACTGAGAAAATGAGTGTGCAGAGGAGGTGGAAGGAGAATCAGGGAGGAAATGAAGAGGTCATAGGATGTCTGAAAGTCAAGTTTAGAAACTGTCCAAGGAGAGAGAGATGGGCTGTGCCAAAGGCTACAGAGAAGGAGGAATGTGAGAGATTGGAAATGCTCAGATGTGCAGGAGCCTTAATGTCATTATTGTGATTTGCTTTAGAAAGTGTGGGGATTGAAGCCTATTAAGTGGAAGAGTGAGAGAGATGAGGAGGCAAAAAGAATGCTTACCAGCCTCATTGCCATGATCCTGGCTGGGATGGAGAATTAATCAACAGCTTTAGCCAGTGGGGAGTATGAAGTCTAATGAGCTGTCTGTTTAAAGAGAGAAGATACTATGGTTTTCAGCCTTAGCTGCAAACTACAATCACATGGGGAGCTTAAAAAAATACCAATGCCCAGGATTCACCCCCAAGAAAAGTAAATCAATATTTTTGGGAATGTGGCCCAAATGTTTACACACACACACACACACACACACACACACACACACACACAGCAAGAGAGACCCTCATGTGTTTCTGTGTGTGTGTGTGTGTGTGTAGGTATGTGTGTATTTATTCCCTGCTGATTTCAATATGAAGCCTCAGTAAAGAACTACTGAGTATTTATTCAAATTATTCAACAATTTTTTGTTGTTGTTGTTGCACCTATTAAGAGATTGTTCTGGGTAATTTTGAATTAAAAAAATCAAGCAGATCCCTAGTTACTTTGGCTTAGGGGATAGAGCATTGGCCTGAGGACTGAAGGGTTATGGGTTCGTTTCTAGTAAAGGGCACGTACCTTGGTTGCAGGCTAGATCCTGGCCCTGATCAGGGCATGTATGGGAGATAACCAATCGATCTCTCTCTCTCACATCGATCTCTCTCTCTCTCTCTCTCTCTCTCTCTCTCCCTCCCTCCCTCCCTTCCACTCTCTCTAAAAATCAATGGGAAAAATGACCTTGGGTGAGGATTAACAATAATAACAACAATGATCAAGCAGAAAGCAAGAGGTTAAAACTACAGGAGGACTAGGGGATAATTTCTATAAGAGGACCTATCCTTCACTCATTGTAACTGGAA